CAAAAAGTGTTCACTGTCTAAGGTCGCTCTAGTTACCTACTATCTTAAAAGAAGTAGATATAGGATAACACTAGTAAAGTAATCAGGTTGTCAACTTCTAAGTGGCAAGTTCAAAGTTCAAATCCCAGTATTTATAGAAATTTTGAAAATCCTCTCTGTGTTATAGTTAACTATTTTTCACAATTGATTAGGATAAGACATCTGTTATCTATGTTACACTAGCATGACTAGCAGGTCACATAGCATTTGTATAACAGTTATATGACATTGTTCTTTGAGACAAGGTTTGTGGTTATACGAAGAAATGCAAACCAGTACCAGATAGTGCAAACTAAAGTTGCAGGTGAAACTAATTAATTTCACCAATTGAAACTGGTGAAACTGGTGAAATTGGTATAACTAGGTAAAACTAAATGATATTAGTAAAACTGGTGAAACTGGTATAACTAATAATACTGGTAATACTGATGAAACTGATAAATTGGTGAAACTGGTAAAATTGGTAAAATTGGTGAAACTGGTAAAACTGGTAATACTGGTGATACTAATAATATTAGTAAATTAATAATACTAGTGAAACTGGTAATACTATGTAGTAATACTAATAATACTAGTAAAACTTGTAATATTAATAAAACTTATGATACTGATAATACTGATAAAATCAGTAATACTGACAAAATTGGTAATACTGGTGAAACTAGTAATACTAATTTTGATTTTTAAGGTTTATTTGTAAATGTAATAAAAAATTTTCCCAAAAATTTAATGTTCTGTCCAAGCAGATTAGTGGGTTCACAAAAATTCAGCAATTGGTCTGAATTTAGGATCAGAAATAAGCCGGAGTGAGGTGATATTAAACAATAATGCTGACTAACTATATTATAGCAAAATTATCATCTGGACAGCTTTATTTAGTGCATGGACTGCTACTTTATTAGTAGAATTTTGTATAATTTTAGAACAAATGAATCAATTCTGACCTATTCTGATCTAAATTCGAGTCGATTTTGCTGAATTTTTGTAGACCCACTAATCTATTCTTCTGTCCTGTTTTTATTTGTACTAGAAACGAAGTTTTTTGTAAGTAAAATTGGAGAGTATGGTTTACAACAATATCCAATAATATGCATCTGACATTTGGTTGGATATCACAGTTTGCTATATATAAACCTAGGTAATCTTGAATTGTGAATTTAATCAAGAAAACCGCTTAAAGTGCTACCATGTGACCAAAAGGTGGCAAATTTTTAGTTACTTAATACATATGTAGTAATAGCATATCTTAAATGTTTGTCAGGTTTGTGATGTAAATTTCTCTTTTATTGTATAAACTACTCCCTTCTAATTCCTAACTCTAACTCTAACCCTAATATAAACGAGCTTTAAAGAATTTTGCTATGCTATGAACCTGGAACACATTTATTATAATTCTGTTGTATCACAATGAAAAATCAGGAAAATTTTAAAGTTTATTGATAAATTAGGAAGACCGAAGTTCGAGCTAGTTTGAGTGCTTATAGGAATTATATCTATACTATTAAATCTCTATGTTCATCTATATTAAAGTGATCTAATTAGCTAATTGGACCATGTGTAACTTTATAATTTTGAATGTATCAAATATTAATCTTTAATTAATTGGTACTGATTACTTTGTAGATCATCTCTTTACAGACAATCAATTCATAGACAATTTTATTTTACAGAAAACTATTTTATGAACAGTTCAACAAATTTATCTTACTGATAGCTTGTTTCACTGACAAAACAAGTTTAAAAAAATTAATTCACAGATAGACTATTTTGTAAACAGTTTATTTTATCAATGACTCATTTCATACAGTGCTGCTCACTTCACTGACAGTTATTTTACTAAAAGTTCATTTAGCTGACATCACATGAGGTTAGAGTTAGGGTTTTATTAGTTTCAAGTATATATTTTTAGTAAATTGTCACTTGGCATAATGTCAGCTAAATGAGCTGTCGATGAAATGAAATAATACGGATCCATTTTATAAACAATTTACTTATCTGGAAATTGATTGTCTATAAAATTACTGTAAAATAGACTTGTTCATAAATTGGTTGTTGGTAAAATAAGGTGTCTATGAAGTAATATGAATCCATGAAAAAGAGAATAATTTATATAGTAAAATATTTTTGATAAGTATTGTATATATGCTTATTGCATAGGATTGTATTTTAGACACCGTACAATAAGATTGCTATTATATGGGTATATTGAATAACTCAGTTACACTCAAGCTTATATTTAAATCCTGTGGCTGAAGGCTACAGAATACAAACCTGAGTGTAACTAGGTTATTCACTACATATTTATACAATAACTATAACTTATAAGATTAGATCAGTAAGTATAATTTATCAATTATAAATTATTGGAACTTCGAATAAAATCTACTGAACATCTGTTTCTAGTTTTAGTGCAATGTAGTTGTGCAGCTATCTTATTTATTACCAGTATATATCATACTAAGAAAAAGGTGAAGCTACTAGAGATATAGTTGTAGACAAAATGCTTAGATGAATGTCTAAAAGAGAAACAATAATCATATATCTAATGTTTTCTTTTAAGATCTCTTATATATCTTAAAAGTATAAAAAAGATACCTATTTGCTCTTCTAATAAAGACTTCAGATTTCGATAGCTTAATTATATGAAATATAATAAGAATCAGATTCTCACTTGTTGTATAAGCTTAAGTGCTATATTTGTTATTACTTTATTATTCTAACCATTAAGATTCTTAACGATCAAATATATTATATTTATTATCTATTACTACTTCTCCAATATTATAAATTAATTATATCAGTTGTGTCACAATTAAATTAAGTGCCTTTATCATGGATCAATTACGGATCAATTACGTGCAAGCTATTAAAGTCACTGATCCTGTAATCAAACAATAATTATTTGTCTTATTATACGTATATAATTTTTTAAAAAACAAATTTTAATAATTGAATAATAATAATATATATATACGTATCAGAAATATACTAAATACTTAAAAAATATAAAAAATATCTAGTTGATAAAAAATATATTGATATACAGTATCTAATGAATTACAAATCATTATTTTTTTCATTTATCATTTGCTATGTTAACTGAATCAGATCATATTTTCTATTTTCTAAATTATAAGCCCTTTCGTGAGAAGATAATCTATTAATTGCAGATTCAAATAAAGTATTATTAGTCGATAAAAATTCAGATAAAGTTAAATTAACAAGTTGACTAAGATTTAAATTATCAGTCAACGAATAGTCATTATTATCATCATCATCAATTTTCAAATCTTCAATTTGCTGTATAATTACAAAGTTATTTAAATTTTCTTTTAGATCTTTGTTATTTATATCTTTACTATAAATTCTTAATTCTTTATCTTTATTTGAAATATAATAAGATCTAATTTTTGCTATAGATTCAATTCGTAATAAATTCAATTATGTACACTTATCTCCAAAAAGCCATTTTAGTGTAGAGAAATTTCTTTCACAAACCGTCTAAGATGGAACAATTGAAAATAAAAATAAAGCAAGTTCTTGTAATTGGTCATTTTCTTTATATATATTCATGCTTATCTACCACTTTAGTGGTGTTTCTTTAAGTTGATTATAACTAAGATTATATAGAGATTCTTTATGCTTCCATAACCTCATTTCTGATAAAAGATTCAAATATGATACTTCTGTATAGTTAAAATTATACCAAATAATTGATGCAGTTTCATATATTTTATTTAATGCAGCTTGTTGTAATCCACAGCCTACA